TGTCTTCACATATTATGCACAATACGTTGCCCTAATTTTCAAACAAAACGGTCTGAATAGATCATATTTTATATTAATGGTTTATTCCTTAAAAATATTCAGTTTTATTTTATTTGTGGATCTCTGACAGACAATAGTGACCAGAGTGATGCTCAAAAGCAGTTATGTACTGAAAAAGTTAGTAGTATAATAATTTATTATGTCATGTAAGTGGATATAACTTATTACGACTAGAGTATAAACACTATAAACATAATGAATACTCACTGTAATACTCATAAGTCATATTATATTACTCATTTCGTCTAGAATTCAAAATAAATTACAATATAGTTATAGGCTCAAAGCATTTACCTACTTACGAAGAAAATAAATAAAACAAGCCATTCATTGTTTAAATTGTAGTCTATCAATAACAGTATTATGTATTATGCACTCCAAAAATTATATGTGCATATGCTTCCATCATACAATTATTTGTGAGTGCTCAGCTAGTTCCATTTATAGTATTCAAATTACGTAAAATTATTCATATTCAAAATGCAAGTATGCTTACTTGACTTATGTTTGCTTTACTGTGTGTAAACACGATCTACACGAAGCGGAAAAAAATTAACTAGGTATTATTATTTTCATTTCAATTTATATTTTTTACCTTAAATTAATTATCACGACTACATTTTTTGATGAATAACACTCATTTTCTTTGTCATTATTTCATAAATATTAAAAAATAAATCTTAAAACGGTCTTTAAAGAATAAAAACCTAAACTATAAATCATGTATACCCAAAGTGATGGACAATTAGTTAAAATTTAGTGCATCGTACGAAACTATAAGGCATAATATTTTAATAATTTACTTTCAACTGCCAATTTCGTGTCTTATATCGAACAGTAATTATGTAATTACTTATCCAAGCATATAAACGTATATTTGTGGCTCGGTGTCTGGCTTCAGTCACTAATGTGGTCTGAGTCCAGCACCAGCCGGTGCCACTATAGTTCCCGGAAGGGTGATCACCCGGGATTTCAGTGGCAAATCCTTTTCACACATACACTTATTCTGAACCAACCGTACCCTCTCCCACAGTAATAAAACCTACTAAGTAACCCAGGCTAATGATCTCAAATGTTAAGCCTTGACTTAACAAAAAAAAAAAATTATATTTATGTATGGTGTTATAATATCATCTTTATGTGAGTATAAATGGAATTGAATAGTATAATTTGTGATTAGTTTCAATTTTAACTATCAAGAACTATAAAATACAATTTTCTTACATGTAAAATCACTTTTATTAATTCAGAATGATTCACTCATGAATCGTATAATTTTTTTTTTTTACAAAGGTGATTTTGAAAAAATATCTACAAATAGGATAAACAAAAATTGTTATATTCTTTAAACAATAAAGATAAAAATTTAAAATAATTTATCAAAATATATTGTGTTTATAACCAAAAATGTTAAATTAAAAAAAAAATTGTCAGGAAAAAATATTATATTAAACAGTTAAATGATTTTTAAGCTTCAAAGTCACCACTTAAGGTACCTCATCATCATAACTCTTTTTTAAGTTAAACTTAGGTCTAATTTATACAGTTATCACTATTTGAACATCAAGTACAGAGCTTCTATTATAAATATGGTTAAAGGTGAGCACCACCACATAACATATCATGTATCTCATGGTCTATCTTATCAAATCTTGAATTCATACTTTTCCATGAGCACCAATACATTTATATAATATATTTTATGCTCAGTTCCCATTTATTATGGAATAAAATTAAAGAATCAAATGGTTTTTATTTATTTATTCAGAAAATAATTAATGAAAATAAATTCGTTGACTAGCTGCAATTATAATATAGATAGTTGATATTATTGATTGTATTTATTTCAGTTAGAATCAACTCGTTTACAGAATAAAGAAAAGATAGTTGGAATAAACGTTATGAAACATATTATGTTATTAAACATCTGTACTCGAGGTGTATAAAAAATAAAATCTCGTATTTCTTAGATTTTTATTTATGATGTTTAAAATAAATTGACACTATAGGTTGTATAGTAGGTACATATAATATTAAAATAATATACTATGCATATTTTAAACCAAATTATATCATTAAATTCATTTTGTATATCTTAAACAGATGTTGTTTTATTTTGCTGAACATCTATTAATTAATAAACAGACTATTATAGGTGTATAATATGTTATAAACGTCACACTATGATAACTTATTGTGTTGCAACATTACATCATCATTAAAACGAGTGAAGTTTGGATGGAAATATTCAACTATTCAAATATAAATATTCAAACTAATTGGTTTCCCTCCACTGTAACATAGTCATAATCATTCAAAACAATATAATATTGTAGTTAATTTTATGATCAACAAAACTATGACTGTTTTACATGTAAGGCATTATGTAAGTTGCACCATTATACTTTAAAAGTATTAATTCAATATAATTTATTCAAGCTGTTGATAAATATTATACAAAGGGAGACGTTTAAAATATTTCAGTTTTATAATATGAAGCCATAGTTGTTATTGATTGAACAGGTTATATTATTCATTTCATTGCGTATGAAAACTGATTAATGATTTTCTCAACATGCAAATATTACATGATGGAAATATGTACAAGCAGGTCAAAAGTTGACAGCGAAATTGAACGAAATAAATATGTTTTAACAACGATTAATCCTTACTAACCATTTAAACTAAAAGTATAATTAGGTTCAAATAATGTTGTATAATATTTTGAATTCTAGCAGTTTTTAGTTTATTTATCCAATTTTCAACACTTGGCGTATTTTAATTTAAATTACGTAAAAGCTACCGAGCACTTATAAAATATTACGAAAAGTATATTTCAAAACGTTATGCAAATTTTAACGCAAACGAGTTCAATCGATTCTTTCGTTTTATCTCGATACTCGTTTACAAACACACATAAATATAATTTATATTATATAGATAGAAGAATATCGGACCCTCGACTAACCGTGCAATTTTTAACGTCGCAGATATACATTACTGTTATTACTTATTATATATTTTAATAGTTTTTATAATAATATGAGAAAGGTTTCGAGCATCGTACAGCGTTTATAAATAACTAATCACGGGGGAAAAAAAATGCTTATGATAATAATATTATAATATATTATAATGGTATTGCCGTAAGTATTTTATAGTCTCACGATGTCACGAAAATGAAATTTATAAATTTCAATTTTCCATTGTCGAGTGACGGTAAGAGGTGATAGCGGTATTGACGTGAAAATAATAATAATATTATAACAACAGACGCTGCTGGAACCGTAGACACCTACATGGTTACACAGCTACGCATTACGTCAGATCGTACATGGTTCGGTTGGCAACGGCCAATATTATACGAAGTTTGATAAAAAAAAATATTATGTTCTGCCGATTACCAGACTTGCAGGGATAGACAGTCATAAAACAATTTTATAATATGATATTATTTGTTGGTTTCACGCATATTTTATAATACGGTATTTTTACTAGGTACTTACCTTTTTTTGTTTTCTTTAACTTTTCGAATATTTTTTTTAAAAATAATCATTGGCCAATAATTACGTGAGTACCTACAAGAGCTAGTACGAGGAATGGTAAACAATTGTTTTTCTGTCCGTTTTCAGACTTACGATAACGGCGAATACCACGGTATTGAACCTTCTGAAGATATTAAGGTGATCTGTACCAGCTATTATCGGTACTCAGGATATAAATAAGTACCAGTATACTATTTTATTGATTTTCCTATTCAATATCACATTAGTACATGAGTACATGTTGATTCCCATACGGTTGAAAGTAATATAATACCTAGGTTCCTACATACAGATGTTAGAATATTAATGATAATATGAACTCATATAATTGTCTTGAAAAATCAAAAATTCTAGTATGGAACTTACTATTGCCCATATTATATATTATATTAAAGTTTGATAATCATAAATTATTTTTAAATTATACAAATAAATAAATAAATAAATAAATAATGAAGACCAAAAGCCTTTTTTTCAAAAGTATATAAAATACAGTAATTTTATTAGTATAATATGTAAAACGATTGTTATCGGTATCAGTAAAGTGCTCAGATTTTTTGAATGGGTAGATGGGATATTAAATTGTTGATCATTCTCAAACTTTGCCATATAACGGTAAATACACTTTCATTGCTTTATCAAATATTTTATATGGCATAAATAAGCCAAAAGGATATGACACTCTCAACTCTCGTTTTCCCCGTTAGCACGACCTTGATCGGTATAATTAAGGCAAATATATTAAGTTTAATTATAAAATTAACATATTATAATGTAACATACGTATTTACATAACATAGCATATTTATGTTCAAGAGTAAGTACTAAGTACCCATATTTTAATGTTGTACGTTTTAAAATGATAACTTAAAGAGAACGGATGCAGTATACAAATTAAAGGTAATAATATTATCTGCATTCGATTGTGGGTTTTTGTTTTTGATATTTAATTTTAAAGCTATTCAATGGCGTTTTTACATCGTAATTCCTACCTAATTGTACTTTCAAATTATTGAATTACTAGGTTCTTGCGGAGTCCTAATATGCTTCCTCATATTTTTAATTAAGTGTCTATTATATATTCTTCCTTTCCTTCAGAATAATCAGCCATAAGCAATGTAAATATTTGCAATAATATCAACAACATTTTTTTTAGAATATCAAAACGAGGTAAAATCTAATTTTTGTGTAGGTAGGTAAATATATCGGTGAAAAAAAATGCATCGTCCGAGTTATCCAAACAACACGAGGAGTTGTAGGACCATCGAAAACATGAAGATCCATCGACCGTGTGTGAGGTTATTACCTATTACCAAGTTCTATATAGTATATACCTGACGAGATTAAACTCTTTCTACTATCAGCTGGTTATACATAACATGTGACAGGACTTACCGAAGGGACGGTAGGTGGGGGTAACATGGGCACCATGTGCAGATAAGTGCGCTGGCCATGTCGATCGCGATCCGGCGACGGAGTGTGCTGCTGCTGCTGTTGCTGCTGCAACCGGCGCGGTGACAGTACGACCCTGTCGTGTTGTGCGGCCGCAGCCATCATCGGGATCCACATCGGCCGCGGCTGTGTACGCGCCGCATCCGCAACTGCAGCTCAGATCGTGTCCGCCATGACGCCGCCGCGAGTTCGTAGTGGACGCCGCCCAAACACCTGGTGAACGATGACAACGTTGATTACGGTGATGATAATAATAATAATGATCTCAACAGGTTGTTAGATAATGGCTAATTATTATAATGGTTAATAATATAAGTACGATATTTTTTGATGAGTATAACTTTCGCGGTGAAAACTATTAAACACCAATAATTAATATGATAACAGAAAACAACCATCTTTTTACATACTAATTGTATGGTAACCTGTTTTTTTTTAATTCTTTCATAATTAGAAATTGAATTATTTTCCATAAAACTGTATATATAAATATCAAATGTTTTACAAATGTTTTTTTTTTTTTTTTTTAATACTTGTAAACATTTAAAATAGAATACTCCAATTTTAAAATACATTTTTAGCCGAAAACATATTTCTTTAGCCATATTACAACCATGACAGTCCTAAAAAGAAAAATAGGAAGACAAATATACTCGTTTTTATTTTAAGAAGACCGTCGTTCGATTTTCTTGGACTTAACTATAGTAAGTAGGTAATAAACTAGTAAATATCAGTTAAGTTACGATTCAGTAATAATATGTCTCGATAACCTTAGCCCGATGTAAGTATCCTCTTTGGAAAAAATTGACATTAAGTCACCAAAAGCTTCATGTATGTCTTTAGAAAAAATCAGATAGTGTAAAAAATGTTTACTAACCATAAATAAACATTTTGTTATCAAATCGATTTATCCAAAAACAACATTGCAGCATTGAGCTCAGCATTAAAATATAATATCTATAATTACTTAAGTCACTTAAAATAAAACTTCACTATCGATTGTAATAAAATGATGTAATTATTTGACCATACGCAGAATTGATCTTCTTATTATCTGCAGGTAATTTTTAAATTCTGAACTTAATATTATAATAATACCTCAAAACCTTCAATTATTTATGATAATATAGGTCATAGGGAGGATCCCTTGGTTACCTCAATAAGCCAATAAAATAAAATTATTAGGTACCTATCTATTTATCGGTTACAGAAACTTAAAATTAAAATGTTTGTTTTTGTATTTCTTACAGAGGTAACCAATAGACTGTAGTTTACAGAGTTTGCTTTATTTAAGTTTTTTAACAGTTGAATTATTAATTTCCATTAAGCATTCATAGAGTAGTTTTATGTACGTTTTAAAGCGCTGGTAGAAGGTGGTTATAGAGTAGCATATCTTGCATAGTGGGCAGGAGTGAATTTATGAGGACAAACATGGCAGCCACTTATGTGTACCTTATATATTATATGTATACCTTTTTTAATCACCTCCAATATATTTTTTTTAATCGTTGCTCGAGGAATGCATTTTAACTGTACACTATATACTATACATATACACAGAGTGTGACACAAATGTCAATTTGTGTGAATCGCAGTATATATTTTAGAGGCCTTATTGGTCTGTCTTAATAGTTAATTGACTATTGTTATTATAGAAAAGAGAAAGAACTTCACTATCAAAACGAATCATGGTAGATAATTGATAATTTAATGGGAGATTTTAAATCATACATACGAACTTACAAATATGATAGTGAATGCACCTTTATCGGGTTTTTGATGGTGCAGTGTTAGGGGTACTTTCATTTTCACAAATCACAAAAAAATAAGAAGATTGATTTTGTCAAAAACTATTTTTAGACTATTAATTCCCAATTTTCCTAATTTTATTGTTATTTCTCTCAATTAAGAAAAGTACTGGGAATTTTAATTTTTAAATCCAAAAGTACCAACCGATTTCAGTTTTATATCAAAAACCACTGTAAAAGTGGAAAATCAAATCATGTTTTCTACTAGAAAACGCTTACCTAAACGGCTATACCTACAAATACACAAAACAAATAAAACATATGCACATAATTGTAAAACTGATGTATCGATCCCTACGCTCGTTATCCATAAAAAATAATTCACCTACAAGTACAAGGATTATACGAATCAGTACCAGGGTCGTATTAAGGAACAATGTATGGGGGAGCAAACATAAATATGACACCCTTAATTCTCTACGCTAGAACAAACATTATACAATATACTTACAAAAAAAAACTATATGCTTATCTACTTATTACTCATTAGTTATCTACTCATGCTACACTTAGGTATTGTCTTTTACAATATATTTAAACACATGAACCAGACACAATTTTTACAAATTAATAAATTATTACAAACACAATATGTCTACATATCGTTATTGATTTCAAACTCATGTCTCATGGTATATGCCTTATGGCATATTCTATACCTATAGCTATGAATTATTGTAATGATAAACGACTAAGGAACTTAGTATACTAATATACTATGTTCAAAATTTTTAAATATAATATAACAGTAACATTATACTAAAAATTGACCAAGTTAAAAACTTTTGTTATTTCTTGTATAAATAATTAATAGTATAGATACAAATAGATAGTAATATAATAGATATTATAATCGAATAACAAGCTACAGAATCTCAGTGTCAGTACTGCAGTATATAATGGTACATGCCACATGACAATATCGCAGCTCGGTGCCCCGGTGGCCATTACATGTCAATTTATGTAGTGTATAGTGATAATATTAAAAATATTTCGATTAGTACGTAGGTAGTAGGTACTAGATATTGCGAAAACAAGGTCCATAAACAGCGTTTTCTCTACGATTTTAGATATTCCGACAATATTGATATCGTAAATTCGTAAAAGTAATAACTAATATTTATTCTACTAAATATTTTATTTTTATTATATTACCAACGACATAATCGACTTTTTTTGCCGCCCTGAAAAAATTTGGCCTCCTCTGCCGCCTTTAGCAACTGCTCCTTCCCTCCCCCCCTTTGATGCGCCACTGATCAGTACCCATAGTAAAAATTCAAATATAAATCCCCGTTAATATAATATATTGTAATAATGCGAAAGCGGCCGCAGAACCCGTCATCCTCCATCCCTTAGGTCGAAGGCGTCGATGGATTCGGTTATTTTGTCTACTAAATAAAATGTTGTTTCTTATTTTTCCTATAAATGAGTATATATTTATTTTTATTTATTTCAGCGGAATAATTATAGGCCTCAGTAAACATGTTCGTGCCTCGTGTGGAATCCACAAATGGCATTAACCAACAATTTTTTTTTACGTACCAAATATCAGTAAAATATATCGAGGTTTTTAGCCACATGAAAGTATGAGTTTACTGGTGTGGTAACCCTTATGAAATATGAACGGAAGTATTTGTACACACAGTAGATATTATCACTTATAACGACCATCAAGGGATCGTTTAAAATAAGTCATTATAAACGAAAATGTATAAAAAGAAAAAAGAAAACCTTACTCTTACCTCAACCATGGTCCATGATGGGACAAAATTCAATTTTATGTTTAGTAAAAATGAATGTACCTATAGTAGGTAATAATACAACAAAACTGATTGGAAATTTGTAAACTACATAACATTGTTAATTGTACATAAATAAGAATCTTTGTTTCATAAATAAAATAATACAATAACCCGTTCTAAATACAATTGAAGTTAGGTAGCCCATCTTCTGAAGGTAACTTAAATTATTATTATTGATGATGTCAATATACAATATTACATATTGTATATAGGTTCATTCAACTTAATTAAATTTAAATTTATATAAACCTTGAAGTTATTTATAATATATTTTATTACCTACCTTTGTATGAAACATTTTTTTTTTTTATCAAATACATAGGTTTAATTTTTGTTAATGAACTATAAGTAATTGTTTACCTATGTAACCACATAATAGATTAAATATATTTCATCTATTCTGTGACGAATATTTATTTAAGCTCAGTGGCGGATCCAGGGGACAAAGGGGGAATTTGCCGCCCCCAATCGCCGTAGTTTCCCTATGCATTACACTGTGTTTTTAAAATTTTGTAGCCATTTATTATACATTTTGTACGTTTGCCCCCCTCCCCTAAAACTTCAATCCTGGAGTCGCCGCTGTTTAAGTTTAACCCATCAGTTAATTATACATTTATATTTATCCAAATACTAACTTTATAAGGGAAACTTTATTCCATAAAAGGATGGTAATTAAAACTAATAAGAGTCTTATTAAAAAAATAAATAATTTCAATTGCATACATAATTGAGATGAGAATAACACATTTCCATCAGAATGTAAACCTAGCCCTTATCCGCCAATGTTTGGTTCATCATATGAGATGTTGACCGACATTGTTGATAACATTTCCTATAAAGATGTATATATACTATTAATATGCATGTATTATAATGTATTGTTTTAACTTTATGAAAATGTTTGTTTTAGATTTTGTAAATTGTTCCCGAAAACAAAAAAAATATTATATTAGTTTATTTTTACTGACTATATTATACTGTATCCGTCTGACTCACGACTTCAGTACCGGAACAAGGTTCTTATTATTTCTTATGATTATTCTTACAATATAAAAATGATTGCAATTGTTTTTAATGTATTCATTAAAATGTATGATATTAGGTATACTGTCTTCCAATATTTTATTATATTTTAAATTAACAGGTAAGTAAATACTGTATAATCACTTTTGAATTTTTTATTATTTTCTGCTTAAAAACTAAAATATACATTATTGTAAAATTATAAAAAAAAATTTAAATTGGTGCTTTGAGTATTAACGATATAAAAATGGTCTGTGGAATCGTGGAATCGATTATTGGAATCTCATTTGGCGGAAGCTGGTATTGGTTTAAAAGGGGAAGGTACACATTTGGTGGAAATGTCCGTCGTGGCCATCGTGATAATATATCTTATGGTACCGACTAAAATATAACGAAATATTGTTGGTAACTCCCCGTGAAAAAAATGAAGATATACCTATTACGGCCTTATCGTGCGACGGTGTCGCGTCAAACGTATAGGTCG